GTCTGATGGTAAGCCAATGGCTTTTAGTTAAATGTTTAACGCACAAAACTAAAGTACGAGTCCTGAAGGAAAAAAAGGCGAAAAGTATTTCTCTTTCCGAAGACCTCGCCAGTGGTATGCACCAGGTGTTAAATGATCTGATTTCGCGTAAGAATGAACTTAGAATTGAGTCAATTTGGACCATAGATGGAAAAATTAAATATAATCGACTAAATACGGATAGAATTAATGTTATTAACGGTCACGACGATGTTGTTAAAGCTTTCAGTAAGCCAAAATTGTATGGGAATGTGATACCACCATGGACGTACACACCCAACAACAGCGGAGGTGTTAAATCAATATCTCTCTTGGGCGTATTGGATATGAACGTTGCAGCACACAGTTTATTATCGAATCAGTTGTCGCAGCGAACTTGAAGCGAAATCAGTTCGTTACGGTAGTTAACGAGAACTATACTCCATGAATTAAAAGCGAATGGTGAAAATCAACAACGACAGACACATTGAATTATGAAGAAAAACAAACCATTTAAATTGAGTCTCATTTGCTAGGCTAATGATCGCAGTAACCCACACTAAACATCTTTGCGCCAGAAAAGAGGTGAACGACAACATGTTCAGCGACACGGTGCTCGGCACCCGTCATCCCGCGGACACTGCGGGAACTTAACCTAGGCAAAGAATTGATAATTTTCATTATGCCAAAAACCCTATCAGACAAGAAAACCTGAATAAAAATGTATTGTTATGTGCCAAAGACAATCTGCAGCTTTCGTCTCACACCTGGTTAGATTCATACTCCAAACGAGAATCTTGTAAAAATGCTTTGGCAAAGAAAAAACAAGTTTTTGACATCAATTCTTGAAAACAAGCTGGAAAAATTTTCAACGCGTTAGTCTTAGTCGCGTCACTTTTGCGTAACCCTTTTAATGAAGGAGTAATTTCAAAGCCGATTTATATCAGAAGTGGAAAGGCAGCCTGCCCCCTCCCTCCCTCATTCTCTTCCGCGCGTGGGCTCCTGAGTGTAGACATTGATGTAAAAATGGCTGCAATGCCAGAAGTTGAAAAGAAACGGTTTCTGAGCTTATGCGCGCTGTTGTCTTTTCTTCCCCCCCTAGGTCCTGAGTTATGTTTTGCGGCTTCGTGATACCGCTCAGCCGTCTGTTCAAATTCGGCTTGGAACGTATTACACCACATCCTTGACTGACGACAAAATGCATTATAAAATGAATCCCGCTTCGACGAGCTAACCTATATAGGAGAAGACGGGATCCCAATCAAAAACACGAGCTAGCCTGTTCTTCAATGTAATCGCAGCAAGTCTTGACTGGAACACAAAGGACTGCATATAGAATAGAGTTACCGAAGTTATTGACGTCAGCAAAAAAACTTTTTTAAGAATTCCAATTTTGACTATCATCCCAAGAGCATTATGAATAACGCTAAGTATGCAAAATCAGTTGAATGTGTTAACAAATGGCTAAGACATAGCCCAGCAAAGCAGAAGGGCTCTCCCCATCAAACTGTGAAGTACGTAATTTGAGTGACGTTTAAAACTTAAATAATTAGTAATTCAGGCCATTCCGAACGATAATTATGGTCCCGGGAGCGCGAAGAACAAGCCATCCACTCTTCAGATTCCTAGCCCACTTC